GGGGAAGGCACAGGGCCTCTGTGAAGAGGACGATGGCGGAGCTGAATTCTCAAGGAGGGGTTCCCCAGGGGGATCCGTGGGGAGCGGTGCGATGGTGGAGGACAGCACGTGCACAGGCCAGAGGTGGGCGGGCCTGGCGTGGGGATGATGGTGCTGGGCCGTGAGGCCGGACAGGTGCAGAGGCAGTGGGGTCCTGCGAGTGCGGGGCTGGAGGCCGGGGGGGCCTGTCTCCGTGCCTCGCTGCCCATCAGGGTGGTCTGTTCGCGATGCCAGCAGGATCCGTCTGGTGTCCGGGCCTCTGGCTCCTCCTCAGCGAGTCTCTGAGGAGCAGCCCCTCCGCAGATCACACCTCGTGCATGCGGCCGCCCAGCAGCCAGCCTGGCCCCGGTGGCTGGGTCCGCGCGGCGTTTCATGCCGGAGGGCAGGGATGCGGTTGCCGAGGTCTCGGAGGCGAGCACGCTGTTCGGGAGGAAGCTGGGGTTGTCCCGACTTTGGGCGGAAGCACACGGACATGTCCCCTGAGGGCAGGTCCCCCCCCCCCTCGTTCCAACGGCAGAGCCAGAGCCGCCAGCTGCCCGCGCGGTGCCGGCAGCTTCTCTCACTGGCAAAGGCGGGGGGTGGGGGGCAGAGAAAATGATCTGAAGACCACTCTGTCCAAACTGTGTTACAGAGCTTAGCACTTGTTAGGAGAAACGAGAACTGAGTCCCTGCATTAGATATCCCCAGGGTATTAATTTGTTCCTGAGCCTGCGGAGGTGGCCCCCAAATCCCAGCCACCGGCTCTGTGATCTTGGTCAGATCCATGCGGTGTCCAACACGCTACCCAACACCCCCCCCCCCACACCACATAGCACATACCACATACAACACACACATTACACCCACACCACAAATGCCACATGCCACACACACTACACACATCACACACACACGTATCACATATACCCCACATGACATGTATCACATGCACACACACACCACACATATATACCACAGACACACACACACACACACCCACACACACACACACACACGTATCACATATACCCCACATGACATGTATCACATGCACACAAACACCACACATATATACCACAGACACACCCACACACACACACACACACACACACACACACACACACACACACACA